GGTCAGATAGTCTTGAAATACCTCCACAGCTGACAGCCGTGCAACATTTTATGAGCTTTCTTGCCCAATAAATGCAGGCAGATGTTGTTGGATTTGGAACATTACAAGGCACTTGAGTATAGCTGGTGGGAGGTAATTTTGAGGAGTGCTTAACCTCTGGCTAAAAAAGTAGCAGCTTGGAGAATGCAGTATTTACTGCAGGAAACATTAGCTTGTCAAAAGAGGTAAAGTACTGCAAAGAACCTTTTTGAATGACCATGCAAATCTTCATCCAGATGTGTTTTGTAGCATAGAGTAATGCATGCTCCTCTGGGAGTTAGACTAAGGCCTTTCCTTGTATCATTTGTAGTCAACACTGTTTCCTGTAGGAAAACAGCTTGCTAACCTAAGAATATACAAGCAATTATAGGCAGGCTTGTGAAATATCATGCAAATCAACTGAACCCCGTAAGCATTCATATTATTAGTTCTCAATAATCAAATAATCCTTTGAGAGCTACCTAAAACCACTGTGTCTGCAAATCTTTGAGTTAGAGGAAGCACTTCAATCTAAATGTTGTTGTTCTATTTCACCCTTCCGATGACAGGGCCTTCTGACCTGTGTAATGCAAGAACACAAACCTAATTTTCAAAGTTGGCCATGGTATTGATCTGAACTATACCACAGATCCACTCTATCTCTGTAATCACAACTTCCTAAGACACAGATATTCTTGTGTTGTACTGTGTATTCATAAGCTGAAATAAAACATTTTTTAGCAATGCAAGAGCTATAGTTCTGAAAATACTAAAAATAACTGAATATCCCCTTGTTTTCTTTACATATCCTTGCGTGAAAGAAAGAGAAAAAAGAAATGCATCTTGTAACTGCAGTGGTGGAAAGAGCAAAGGGGAGAGACTGAGCAGAGAAGCTGGTGTGAATATTGTTGCAGGAGCAATGCACACATCATTGAATTACTCTTGACCATGTTATGGACTTTAAAATACTTGAATTAAAATGGGAAGGAGGGAGACATAGCAAATGAAATCCATGTGTATGAATATATAACATCAATCAGCTCACAAAGAGTTTCTCTATAAATATTGCCCTTGGACACTGATATAGAGAAAGGCCACATCTACTTATCAAGGAGAAGCCATGGCACTGAATATGTACAGCATATGCATGGCTTTTATGTGGTGTTTTTTCATGCGAGTCTGTTTGTGATACCCATACTTTAAAGGGAACGTTTTCAGTACCATACATCTGAAGAGCTATTCTCCAGAATCCAGATTGTTTTATTACCAGCTAAATGTTCTTTAAGCTACCTGTGAATGAGGGCATTGTGACATTTAGCAACTGGTGTGATTGAACGCAGATGTGAACCATATTCCATATGGAGAAGATCCAAAAGGAGAGATTGCAGGCTTGTTTCCGATTTGCAAGCAGGAATTTAAATGTAATTACTCAATATTGAACTACCAAGATAGATAAAAACAAGTTGCTTGCTTGCACATCTGCAGTATTGCAAGTGTAAAATCAGCTGCAGTTTGAAACAGTGTGCCTTATTCAGAAGTCAGGAAAATATATACCATATATATATGTATGTAATGCCAATATATTTGGAAGTGAAAGTCCTGTGATAATGGAAACTAAGCATTCAGAAATGGGAAGGGGCAAGGCATTTATTACATTGCTTACTCAGTGGCTTCCTAGAAGTGCTCCACTGCAAATAACCACACTTTTCTGATGCTATTCCTGCACATCTCTGAACATTACATGTGCTATTATCATAGAATCATTTGAGTTGGAAGGGACCCTTAAAGATCATCTAGTCCAACTCCTCTGCAGGGAACAGTGGGACTTCTACAGCTAGATCAGTTGCTCGAAGCCTGGTCCAGCCTGACTTTGAATGCCTCCAGGTCATTCACCAGATCTCTGGGCAACTTGTGTGAGTGCCTCATATCCCTAATTTTAAAAAACCTCTTCCTTATGTTCAATCTAAATCTCCCCTTTTTTATTTTGAAAGCATTTCCCCTTGTCCAATCACAACACACCCTGCTAAAGATTCTGTCTTTAGCACTTTATAAAAATGGCTAAATGGGGAATAGGAATAATAGCTAACATCAGGATGCAAGGTTTGTTGATAATTTTCCAGTGCTACTTTACGGATGCAAAACTGAAATTGCATGCAGCAGACTCATTTTATTACTGGAATTTTTATTTCTTATCAACGATTTAGGGAGGAAAAAGCAAAAGCTTGGAGCCAGTTTTGATGTATGTATGTTATGTATGGCTCAAATTTGGAAGGCTTTTCACAGTAACTAAATGGTGAGTCTCATTCTCTGCCTTTTGCTAGATGATAAAGGAGGTTTTATCCTTATCTTCATTGCCTGTTGTTTGTTTTCTTTCCATCTGAATGGATTTTTCATCATTGAAAATCTCGTCTCTCCAGAATGTCTAGCCTGTAAAGTCAAGCAGAGACTTAGCTATCATTCCTATCGGATGATTCTAGTCCTCATAAGCATTGGTGTTGAGTGCAGTTAAAATGAAATATTTTTGAACCTGAATTTTCAAGAACGGTTTTTTCCATGCCGATAATTGATTTTTCCCATTAAATTTTCATCCTTATTCAGCTAAGAAGAACTTCTGAATTTTTACCAGCTTTGTTTTCCTGGTTGCCCAAGGTTATTTATCTGTACCTATTCTGCTATAACAGGGCTGAGCTGCAAAGAAATACTGAGCTTAGCCTCTCTCAGAGTATTCCTGGGGTATTAGAGGGGGACATTGCCTTCTCCTAATGCGGTGGAGGAGGAGAAAATAAAACAGGACTGTTGGATCTCAGTTCAGACAAATGATAGTGAATGGATACTCCTGATTGGTGAGGATATGTCAGGGGACAGAAGTGAAAAACCTGATTTGCTAAAACCTGTTCCCAGGCCAGCTGAACTTAAGGTTTTGGGAAAATGTCAGGCTTAAACACTTTCAAAAGTATTCCACAAAACCAGAGTGCAAAATCCACTATGTAGGATCTAGTCACTGTGCACTGTGAGAAGCTGTGGAGCATGAGTCAATCTCCATCCTTTCATCTCTGTGTTTTTTACCCTTTTCTTTCTGCTCACACACCTGTGTGTGTGGAGACACACTTGGGTTGCATTGCTGGAAGCTCAAAGCAAGTTCATTCCTACAGTGCAGGTCTCTCCTTCTTTTCATAATTCCCTCTAATCATTTGGACTCCAGGAAGCTGTGGTATCATGTGCAGGTAGCACAGCAATAAACATGTTCTCATCACAATTTACACATAAAGCGTGAGTCCCTTGAGGTAACTCTTTCCTCTCTTGACAGCTTTAATAAAGCATGATGGATTGTTATTAAATGACAGTTTAGGAAGATCTAAAATCCCCCCCTGCTTTGTTTTAAATGCTGGTGTACAAGAGCTGTCTGTGTTCTGTGAAAGTTGTTTCTGCCTGTAAGCGCTGGGGCTCTATTACTCCCCTTCACAGCGGCGAGAAATGCATAGCTACCACAGGAATATATTCCTCTTGCTGTGTGCTTGTTGCTTTTTACAAAATACAGAAAAGCAAAGCATGAGTGGAGGTGGGGAAATGCCAGTAGCTGGATGTGATCCCGTTGTCAGGATGCCGCTCTGGGTGTTCTCAGCGTATGGGCTGTGTGGAGGAGGAAGATTGGGCACTGTGTTGGCTTTCCTCCCAGAGCTGCCTCTGAGGGTTGAATGCCACGGGATGGTATGCCCCCAACCCACCTGCACTGGCTCAGCTCTCCCCAGCCAGTATGCAAAGGAGGCCTTAGGGACCCAGCAGTCACCTGCACCCTCTTTCTCCTTCTCGGTTACATGTGGCAGCAAATTAGTTTTGGAAGGCAGTCTTCTTCCCTCCTGTTTCTTTTTGGTGTGAGATTTATTTATTACTGCATGTGCTTTGTAGTTGCACTTGGCAGAGTGGAGTTTGTTCAGCTGTCCATTCCCTAGCTAATCTGGTGTCTTAAAATAAAAACAAGCAAGTGGATCTCTAGAGAAAGGATGCCACATGAAGACATGGAGGGATACATGTGGCTAACACAGCGCTGCTCAAAATCATTTTTAGGGTAAGAAGAAAAAAAGGCTCAGTACCTGACTGGGGCTTTTTCTGATGTTTCCTCAAAGTGACAAAATGAAGCCTAGACAAGACTTCATTGTGGCCATACAGCAACAAAATCATACCTCTTTCACCGAATTTAGGTAACTGTGGAAGCAGGAAGATGTGAATACCCTTTGGTATCCAGGACCTTGCATTAGGATGGAGTACAGCGTTGTCCAGCTTTCTCCTCTCGTACATGAATAGCTTGTCTTCTGGAGCAAACAGCACTGTAGACACCAGAAGAAGACTTCTGGTATAGGTTGTTATCGCCTCACTTGATCTCAAAAGGAAGTTTTCCACCCATTAGAAGAGAGAAATTTTAAAATAGAAAATAGCCTAGACTGGAGTTAAAACAGGGCTAGGACTTGCTGGAGGAATGAGATCCAGCAGATAAGAAGATCTCAGTAATCTGGCAAAGCCGGACTGTCCGTACAGAACCTTTCTGAACCTTTACTTCTCCACCCATAAAATTCTTGTAGTAATGCTTCACCCAGCTAAGTAATCTTGGCTGGACATTAGATATTTCATTGGGAAGTAACTATGTAAAAAAAAATTGCCTGTCCATCCTTTCTCTTCCTAGTATCCAAGGATGAAGCAATGTTTTTGCTCTCTGCGGTGGCATAGAAACCTGACTGAATTTTAAACTTGAGTTGAATCCTTGTTTTCCAGCTTTGTTTCCCAGCTCCATAAATGTTTGTTTCTGTGTATTTAATTGTTGTCTTTGAATGTCTTTCAGTAAGCAGACCCCAGTCTTAACACTTATGTCAGCCATAGTTTGTGATATGCTTTTTTTTCTAGGTACTTTATTAGAAAATCTTCATTTAACAATATTCTATTGTTTTGATTACTACTGTGTGTTATGAGTGTGATATTCTTTCCCTTAGGCACAACAGGGATTTACCAGGGAGCCAATGGCCTGACAAATTCTGCTGGATTCAGTGCTGTGCATCAGGTATATCTCAGCATTTATTATTGGCAACCTTGTCAACCAATTTAAACACCTAGAGTACTGGCAGATCAGAGAGATTATCCTGGTGTTTACATATAATTAAGAAAAGTTCTACTGTGTGTTTTACCCAGCACCATTTTGGTGTACATGAGTGGTATGGCCATTTGTTGAACTGTTGTATCTTCATTAGCTTTAAAACATGTGTGTCAAAATACAAAGAGAGAATGCAGTCCTTGAAGGACTCTTGGCAGTCTCTGTGCATCTGCACAGCGATGCTGAGAGTTTCATCACTCCTCTGCCATCTTGCAACTTTCAGATATGTTTTCCAGAGCAGAACACTTCCCTTTTAGGACCTTATCCTCTGCTATCTTGGCACTGTGTAATAAATAGGAACATATTGAAAGAGGTGTTGGCAGGCACCGAATACTGAGCCATCTGAGCTCTCTCTGTGCTTCCTTCTTTGAGAGTACACCTGTCTGTGGGCTTCATGCTTCAGATACCTTGAGAAATGTGTGTGTATAAATAAACAGCATGCATATATGCACAAGACAGATGTTTTTGCAGTAATAGATGACTTTTCTTGATTGGACCGAACAAATGAGTACGCTATCCCCAAAAATGTTTTCAGTTAGCCATGGAGTAATAATTTCAATTACTTGTCAACAAGATGGTTGTTATGTCTCATATTTCAAATGACAACAGTGGGCAATTTCATTATTACTTCAGTTTTGGCTAAAAAAATGGTCAATAAATGCTGAAATAAGCGCATTTGATTCAAGTATAGAGCTTACCTGCAAAAAGGAGAAATAAGTGTGTTGTTTTCATCATTTTGTGATATTCTTAAGGAGAAAACAATGGAATTTCTCACTTCTTTTTCAGCTTAATATTTATTTTAATCACTTGAGTCATTTCTATTCTTGAGAGCTCCCTGGTGACTGAGAGCTAATGAAATAGCTGTGCCACAGACAAAAATGTAAGCAGTTAAAAAGGAAAGGGCTTTTAGTGTTTCTAAATACTATTTATTATTTAATTTTATTTAAGACCAGATACTAATTACCATTTCTGGGGAAACAAAAGCCTTTTGTTGAAGGACAATCCCCAGAGCACGAATACAGTTCTATGCCTGAAAAAGCGAATAAGTGAACAAGACCAGGAGTTCTGATGATGAAAAGAAACAAATGAAATTTTTTATATTTTAATTACCCAGATATAAGTCTTCTAATCTGTTTCCATATCTTACTTCCCACAAAGAAGAACACATGGACAGGGTGTTACAAATTTGTTTGGGATCCTTAACATCAAGACAAAGAGTATCATCATATCCCAGCTTTCCAAGTTCACTTGCACCTTGTGATTTCAGTACAGTTTTCTACAGACAGAGAATATCATTCTGGCATTTAGATCTTGCAGAGGCAGTAGGACAATCTCATGTGTGAGCATTTCTGCAAAGCAATTGTTAGATTCATTTCTTTTTTCGTATCCCATTCTAAAAGCTGATCAGAAAATGCTGCTGATCACAGCAAAATGCAACCTACTTTATTTCTGTATAGAATTGTTGAGCCCTGCAATGCAAGATGTGTCAGCACTGATAAATCAAATCCTATAGAAAAAGCAGAAATTGCCTGATATCTGACCTCATGTTGAGGTCAGCCAATCTTAATAAAGTAGGAATATATCTGGGACAAGGATAAATGTAATTTCTTAAGTGAACAAAACATAGTTCTTTAGCAGAAATACTCCTGAGCCAGGGCTTGCTGCCTGTGTAGCTAACATTGACTTGCTGTGTGTGTGATGCCTTACTCGTTTATTTATAAGATAAAACTGCTGATACACAGAAATTACATGTTTCTTTTTTCCTCCAAGGAATATTCATCATACCCAAGCTTTCCTCAAAGCCAGTATTCACAGTATTACAGCTCCTCCTACAACTCTCCCTACATGTCCACAAACAGCATCAGCCCTTCAGCCATCCCAACCTCCACTTATTCTCTGCAGGAGTCTTCTCACAACATCACCAGTCAGAGCACAGAATCGCTGTCTGGTGAGTGCTTTTCTTTTGTTTTCAGTTTGCAGTGCCTGCCCTCCATAGACATAAGTACTGTAACCTTACTGTTGGATGTTTTGAATGTTTTTTTAGTACCTATATTTACACTGAGAAATCAGATTTCCTAGCATGTGACAGTTCTGCTCATGACAGTTTTGGGAAGAGATCAGAAAACACAGCCTCTGTAAGACTATCCTGTGTCGTTTTCATGAGGACGCACAGTTTGATCCTTCTAAAGGTAGTACAGAAAGATAAAATAATTACATGCAAAAGCCAGATCAATCCTTAGTGTTAATATGTGTAGAAGTAAGTTCAAAACAAGTGGCCATGCTCTGAAAAAGCCCCAGTGTCCTCAGTACCCCACATCTCTATCAAAGTTTCTGTTCACTTCTGACAATCTATAATATATGCATTCATAAATAAGTACATAAAGTTTCTCTTAAAAAAAATCAACACAAACTGTTTGTCTAAGTTAAAAGTTCAAGACAAAGTCTGTGTAGAAAGACTTAAGAATTGATGGCCTCTCTTTGAGCACTTAATTCTTAAAGTCTCATGGCTTAAATGGTTTGTGGAATTACTGACCGATTATGATCCTTCAATGCACTGTTCAAGAAAAATCTTCAAATATCACTTCCCTACTCAAGTTTTCATTGGCATGCAATAACAGTTATATAGAACGCCACATAATTTGAGGATGATCACAGTATACGCCCATTGTAGGTCTGCTGACTTATGGAACAAATCTGAACATCTGTGGTTGCTCTGAAAGAAAAATAAACTAATACTGGTTGTTAAAAAGAAGCAGTCACAGATTGCTCTAAAAGCAGTTGGAGGATTTTCTGTTCCTTAGATCTTATCTCAGCTTTTTTGAGAAAGTGATTTCATAAAAGGCTTGTTAGGCACAATCCAAGCTTCTCTGAAGAAGAATATGGTTATTCAAGGAAGCTGGAGAGGCCACAGCTTAGCAAGGTGAAAAGAAAAATATGTTTGAAAAGGATTTGTAATGTAAGGTAAGTGAAATCTGGGCAGGTTTATGAAACTCAAGCCATCCAAAACAAAAACATCATACAGGGAAGTTCACCTTTGACTGCCTCTGCTCAGTTATTTCTAAGCTGGTGAAATGGAATATGGCTAAACAGACTATACATATATTTTATAAATATAAGGTAATATTGAAAGTATCTTTTCAATCTTGAGCATTTATCAAATTTAAAAAAAAAGACATTTTTGCATATGTTTAATTTACCTTTCTCCTGCATTTCTAATTTTTCTCAAGCAAAGGGCGGAGAGGGGAATAAATTTTAAAAAGTTTTGGTTTTTTAATGAAAAATGGGATTATGTTTTTGAACTGTCACATCTATTTTTTTCCTATATACGCTCGGTGTTTTCTGAAATTGTTGCAACCTCTTAGAAGTTTTAAATTATTTTTCTAACTTTGTCAGCTTTTGACATGAAAAAATTAAGATCTTCTGAAATTGTTTTCATAGCAATCTTGCTGCTCTCCACTAAGCAGCTTCCTGCTTTAGTTATAATGAGACAGTGCAAAATTTAATTTTAAATTTATATTTGATTCTCCCAATAGGAGAATATGGAACAACCCCAGCAAAAGATATAGAAACAGACAGACATCACAGAGGGTCGGATGGCAAGGTACGAGCCCGATCAAAAAGAAGCAACGATCCTTCCCCCACTGCTGACAGTGAGATTGAGGTAATAAAATTAACTTGCATTCCCTTAGTAAATCCTGCAAGAGAAACAGTTGCATCTATCAGCAAACCCCGTCAGCAAACTAGTGAATTGTAAGAGCCAGAATAGCATTAGCAATATAATTGGAGCCTTTTATTGTGGGTAGTCAAAATAATTGCTCAGTTTCTGTATTATTAGCATCTCCGATTCTTCTTTGTATGTGTATATGCAAAAAACTTGTTTTTTGTAAGCCTGCTTACAAAATGCATCATCCGTCTTAACATGCAACGAGGAATTTCTGTAGTTGTTAGGAAAACAAACTCTCTGGGTGATCAGCAGAAACATAGTTTCAAATTTCTTGATCTGTTTTTTTGCCTGCTTTCACAAAGCATCTGCAATCACTGTGCTACATGGGCGTGAGATCTTAAAAAGTTGTAGTCCACTTGGACGTATTTCCTGACTGAACAAATTCTTGCAATTGCATAATGTGTAACTGTATTTCTCTTTTCCACCCTGTCTGTCATCACAGCGTGTATTTGTGTGGGATCTGGATGAGACGATAATTATTTTTCACTCCTTACTCACGGGAACCTTTGCATCCAGATATGGGAAGGTAAAACCTAATTTTTTTAACATTACTTCTTGTGTAGCCAGATTGCATCAGGAACTGTGGTGGCAGTTAACAAGACAGATTTTCAAACAAATGCTGCTGATTTTATTCAGATACATTTGTATAAATATGTCCTGTGGTATTTTCTTCTAAAAGGAATATTTAATTTACCTTCCTTTTATGTTGCAAGTAGCTCCTTGTTTTTAAAGGCTTGTATTGTTTGGCTACAGCTAAATAGGACATCAGGATGTGCTTTGACTGTCTTTCTTCTGCAAGGAAGAGCCTATCTAGCTGGTACAGGGCAGTGACTGGCCTGAATGAGTAATGTTTTCTGTCAAACTGGTGTTTTCTTTTGAATCTCAGGTAACTGTTTTTAAGAAACATCTTGTGTTAGTCAGTTTAGGTTGCTATGGAGAACATTGACTCCTCTTCCTGCACGGCTGCTGAAGCACATATTTTTAAGAGGCTTTAGGAACAATATCTTTAACTATCCTAACTTCAGATACCCTCTTTGAAATACTGGCAATTACATTTTTTGAGGCAACATTCTGTGTATGAACAGACTGAATTTGGCTGCTCAGAAGAAAATGCTTGGTCTTTAATTTAGTACCATGTGCTTCAATTTCTTCCTAAGGCAGCTTTTTATGATAAACACTTAAGTCACTTGGAATTACAGAATGTCAAACACTTTTAAATGAGCAGGAAAAAAGACAATATCATTACCTAATTAAAGGTGGATGACCTAGTTGGCAGCTGTTTCCACACATGGCTTTGAACAGTCAACTTCATCAGGAGACTGGAAAATAACCCAGCTTCTCTCTAGAAAGCAGAAATATGATTTGACATCATTTCATAGCTTTACCAGCTGTACTTGTTTTACGACAGTTATAACAAGCTGAATGTGTAATTAGCAAGATAGATTTATTGTTTGCTGTTAGATGTGCACAGTTGTAAAGGATATAAAATGGTGTTTGTGGTGTGGAAGTCTACTGCAGCACTTGGAATGCTGCTAACACTTCTAGCAGCACCCTCTGAAAACCAAGTACGTGTTTCCAAGCAGGGATTTATTCAGACCCATGTTGTACAAGGTAATTGAAGCGGTTACTTTTCCCAGGGAACGTAATGAATGAGGCTGTCTGAGGTATACATGTGCAAGCTCAAACCTACTGCCTGCAAAAAATAGAAAGAATTAGGCAGGATCAGGAAATATAAACTTACGTGGTGTAGACCTGCTATGTGGTCATACTTAGGATTGAGTAAGGGCTGCAAATAGCATACGGAGAATTCCTTAACTGTAGGAGTACGTTCAGTCCTAGTATAAAACCTCTGAAGCAGTTCTCTTCATCAGCTGCTCCTGCTCTAGCTTAGGGAATGTGGGGTTGGTTTCTTCTGCATGGGGGTAGACGATGGACCAAGGGATGTGGCAGACTTGCAGAGGTGAGAAGCCACCACCACAGTGCCTGTGAGCTCCTGCTCATTTCTGTAGCAAACAATTTGGAGATGAAGTGGGGTCAGGGAGTGGAGCCAGAGAAGATTTATCAAAAGCACTTAGCAGTGTGTGAGATGTTCCCACCGGCCATGAGAGTACATTAGGCAAAGTCAGGGCACTTGTGGGCAGCAGCCTACAACACAGAATTGGGAGAGAAAAGCACAAGAAAATGGAAAATTGAGATCTTCTGTTCAGAAAGGCCTCTACGGCCACAAAACAACAAACCTGTGTTGGCTGTTGCCTTTATACAAATGTAAAGAAAGGTACAAACAGATTTTTCTTTTTTTCTTCTCTTTTTTTCTTTTTTTAATGAGTGAATCACCTTTTAAGCTACAACAAGCTCTTTGAGAGCCTACAGTAGGATTTTTTCATAGTTCTTCATTTGTTTCATCATATTAGATTCCACAGAGCTTTTCTATAAGATAATGGTTCTGTTATAAAAGTATTGTGGGCTAATGGTTTTGATCCAGAGACAAGTAGAGACTTCAGTGGGCTTTGGAACAGACCTTAAACCAGGTGGGAAATAGAGCATGCTCAGACAGGCTGTCCTGGGAATCATTAAATAGCATCACAATTCAGAAATGTTAGTGAGGTGAACTGTGAAGTAGAAGTGAAGCTCTGAGCCAGGAGTTACTTGTGTTTCAGTAGCTTGTGCATGAATAGTGTAGGAAATGTTAATCTCAAAATAAATTATCAGTGCCTAAAATTGCCATGTTTACCTATAATTGACCATCAAAGATTCACATGCCTGTGGTTAGACATGCACATGCTTTGAATTTAATCTCACACCTGATGGCCTTCCTCAAGAAAATGTGCCGGCTTCTATGATATTCACCATTCCCGGACCAACACTGTCTTAGTATGATCCTGTTGGTTGTGCTGCTGTAACTGCTGTGCAGCCATTCCAAAAATTGGAGTACAGTGTTTTAAAGTTGAAAAATAACACCTCACTCCGGGGTGATTTTTCCAGGGAGAGGACAGAAATGGAAGGAAGAATATCAACCTAGATGCAGAGATCTGGGACTAAATTCCTGTGTTGTTGAGCTACAAAATCAGGATGCTTCTGCATGTTCTTCCTTCCTTGGTGGCGACAGTAGGGAGCTGTCAAAAAAAAAAAAAAAAAAAAAGATTCTGAGAAAAAAGAAAGAATAAAAAGGAAGTGAGGAGAAGATTCCATAAAAGAATTATTCATGCTCCACTGCAAGTTTTCTGACTTGATTTCATGTGAAAATTCTCTTAATGTCTGGTATAAAACTCAGCTAGTGAAATCTCTGTGGTCCATGCCATAGATAAAGGCCCTTCAGAGCATGAACAGTTGGTCTCGGGTGTTTAGAAAATACTTTGCAAACTGCATAAACAGAGGTTAAGGCACAAAAAAAATTTCTCCATGTTGAAGCATGAATGAATGGCTCAGTCTGTTTTGCTCCTCTTAGTGCCCTCTGTCAAAACCTTTTGCTCCATCCTATGGATAAGTCATCAGACATTTGGTCTCAATGTCTTTCCCATATGGGCACTGCACTGTAGCCTTTATTGTGGTAGTCAGAGTGGCCTACAAATTCACATCTCCCTTTGCCTTCTTGCCCACGGTGCGTACCTGCACAAACACATGGAGTCACTGTCTAATTGATTGGGGCAGCCAGGCTGTCAGACCTGAGGAAATCTCTCCACCCCTTTCTTAGCAGGAGGCCATCTGAGAAAGAAAAGGGGCAAAAAAACTTCCATAGCCAATTAACCCTGGATATTATGTTCAGGAAGGTTTAGAAACCTGTTCTGCCAGCTTCTGATCATTGTATGGGTGCTGAATATTTACCAAGAACCTGGAGACCACAACAGACATAAACCATCATTATGCCTTAATGTGCCATCTACCCAGCCCTTTCAGTCCCCAGACATGTATAGAGTTCCTACTCAGCAGGAAGGTGGCTGCAGTCTTTACTGTGTCTGCAAAGATCTGCCTGACATATCACTAATGAAATACAGTGGGGAAAAAATGGATCACATGAGTTGGGTAAATGTCAAAGGGCTTTGATCTCTTGTTTGGGGCAGCTAGACACAGTACAGAAGGACTCTTTTGGTACAATTAATTCAGACACAATAGAAAGATACTGCAAGCACACCTGTGCCAAGTAAGTGAGTCTATTCCCTTCTCCTTGATTAAGATCTTTACAAGGTAGTTCTATAATCAGTGTTGACAAAGCATTAAAAAATGTTTGCATCACTTTCAAAGAAATTTAAATAGGATATTGCAGATTAATTCTCTTGCTTTTCACAGGACTTGTATGAAGAAGAAAAGAGGCACGAGGTGCTTCATGTTTCCTAGCTGAGGGGTATGTGGGAGGCTAGTAGTTTCAGTATTTTGTACTGATCCCAGGATGCGCCTTTCTTGTTCTGAGCTGGCACACTCCTTGATAAATTACGACACCAGGATTTTAGTATCAAAATGCAGTTGAAGTCAAGTCTACAGTTAAAATTCATCCTTTCATGCAATAGTTACCCTGAAATCCTGGAACTAAATGGAACAAATATGAAGGACTAAATAGCTAAATTGCTGGATCTTTACCAGGATTTTGACTATGTCTGCTAGCACTCAGGAGTTAAGATTTATAAAATTCCCTGTAAGATGCATAACAGTTTTTGAGATTATTCATTATTGAATTGGCTCATATTAAGAAAAACCTGCTACAAGAAATAATAGAGCACATTATGTCCCAATTTTAGCTTAGAATAATGCAAAGTCATGTTCAAGATTTTAGTTAAGTGAAGGTGTTTGGACTGGCTGTATTATACCGTTTCCCTGTGAGACTAGCTGTGTGGTTGCTTTGCCTAGAGTAGCTGCTGTTTGCCTTGGAGTTGCTGTACACTTGATTGATGTAAAGGCCATTTGTCTAAGCATTAATTTGCACTGCAGAAGTGGCAACCATAGATTTTTCCAAGTTCTAAGCAGCCAGATGGAAAAGTGTGGTAGAGGTGTTTCAGTGTGGTAGAGACAGGGCACACGTAGATGTTTCCAGCCATACAGACACAGGCTCTGCCTGTCTGACGAGGGATTTGCAGTGGCACGAGTATGCTAAGGACTAAGAAATAGTCCTCCAGCAGCAGTTGGGCCTGAAGACCTGGATAGAGTAACAAAAGTTGCTGCTTGGCCCAGTTGAGCACAGGACCTAAGAACAGTGCTCTTCCATTTCAGATGAACGTCGTATCTGCAGTGCTCTGAACTGGACTGCCTCATTCTCAACATGACATAATGTAGATTTAAGAAACCTTAGGAACAGATGTGATGTAGATCTAAGAAACCTTAACCTTCAAAAGTTTCATAGGCAGTTACTTGTTCTTACAAAAAGTGTTCGTTTAAGAGAATTATCATTACCAATGTAAAGAAAAAAATATCATTGAAAAGTTATTGCTTGGCTCTTGTTGAGGCGCTTTAAAAAACAGAGTTGATTTATTTATTTGTTCCTTTTTTACCTACTTTCACTGATTGCTTCAAGTAGCCTGTACTTTTCCCTGCATTGTT